CCGCAGAGACCAAGGTGTACGTGGGCAACCTGGGCACGGGCGCGGGCAAAGGCGAGCTGGAGAGAGCCTTCAGCTACTACGGCCCGCTGAGAACCGTGTGGATCGCCAGGAACCCGCCGGGGTTCGCCTTTGTGGAGTTCGAGGACCCACGGGACGCTGAAGATGCCGTGCGTGGACTTGATGGGAAGTACGTGTGCATTTCGGATGCTTGCCGGTTTTAAGAACAGAGAGAGGTTCTCTGCTTCTTCTGCTTTTGTAGTCGTGTGGTAAACTGTAGCATTTAACTGAGAGCCATCGCGGACTTTTGCAGGGTGATATGTGGCTCGAGGGTGAGAGTGGAAGTGTCCACGGGAATGCCGCGGCGCTCCCGTTACGACAGGCCCCCTGCCCGGCGCCCCTTTGACCCCAACGACAGATGCTACGAGTGTGGTGAGAAAGGCCACTATGCCTATGACTGTCACCGCTACAGCCGCCGCAGGAGGAGCAGGTACGTGCGGGGCCGGGGCGGCCGCGTTGCTTCGCCAGTTTCGCTTTTGTGTAGTTCTTGTTAGCAAAGAACAGAATGTTACACCAGTTTTAACTCTTTAATGTTGTAAGTCAACAGGTGTATATCACGGTTTTATTTTTTGCTAATACATACAAAATGTTAATATCTTAATAATCAACCTGGTCAAAACCTTTCAGGTTTCTTCGTTTGAGTCAGTCGCCTTGATTCAGAATGTCACGAGCCTTAAGATTTCATGCTGAGGCGCCTTGCAAATCCGACACTTAAGATCCTCCTAGACCTTGAGGTGATCAGCATAAGAGGCCAGATCCCCTCGAGCCATCTACACGTAGCTTCACCTTATTCTTTAAGGGCAGAAAATTTGAGACGGTGACCGCCGTAACAGTAAATTTGGCTTTCAATTGGGGCCCCCCTCCGGTTTAGAAAGAGGAACACCAGATTGACCACATTCCCACCTAGAAAAATCTTCTTGCGTCAATCAAGCCTCACCCTGGCTCATTGGGCTGTCAGTTTGATCGTCGTTAGATTGAAGAGAACACCTAGATGCAGCGATCGGCTATAGATACTTCTAGATCGTCTAGATCTGCTAGACCTTGGGCCAAAGAGGGTCGACCTGCAAACTTGCAAGGTTTATTTTAAATACGCATTACAGTGTTTTCTATTCTAATGTAATTCTGCAAATGTAATTCAGCTTTTAACATTTTTCTAGGTAGTAAAAATGCTCAAGACGAGTAGGCCCAGAGAGTTTTTCCAAATGACAGATGCTAGTGGTGTGTTTTTGTTGTTTTGTTTTGTTTTGTTTGTGTTTTGGTTTTTTTTTTATTGCTCTCTTTTTTTAGTTGTCTGAAATAAGTTTTGACTTCAGCAGGGCCTCACATGCACTGGTTGCTGCAGCTGTTTGCTGATACCTGTTTTCTCTAACCTAAACCCAGGTCCCGGTCTAGATCCCGCTCGAGGTCCCGAGGAAGGAGATATTCTCGGTCACGCAGTCGGAGCCGTGGTAGGAGGTAGGGGTCTAGCTGTTGTGTTTTCGTTCTTTTTCTTACTCCTCCCTCTGCCCCTTCTTTCCCTTCTCTTTTGGAAAGTACCTTGCAGTGATTTGGTTGGTTTTTCACTTTGTTTTGTAGATCAAGGTCAGCTTCCTACCGCAGGTCCAGGTCAATCTCTCCTCGTAGATACAGATCGTTTTCACCTCGCAGATCCCGATCTGGCTCTCTAAGAAGGTCAAGGTATGCGGTTTTTGTTAAAACCCACAACATTGTCTAAGGGAGCATAAGTTGAAGTTGGAACATTAAGTATTTATATAAGACATATTTAATATAAGCATTAAGTTTATATTTTGCAATCTGTGTCTTTTTAGGAACCTTTATGGTGTAACATCTCTCAGAACTAGTCTGAATGCTTTCTTTATGTTAAAAGTCTAAGCATATGATATAGCTTTGTACCATAGCTTTGTAATAGAAGTTATTTCTGCAAAGCCAACAGTCCGGCAGAATATTGTGTGACTTTTGCAATAACCGATCTCTATCCCAGCTATATGAATCCTGCAGTATTAGAGCTTCCACTGCTTTTTTTCCTAGATCTCGGTCCAGGTCACGCTCACGGTCCCGGTCTGTTGTGTGGCCTCGGAGCAGGTGAGATACTTGTTTTAGTTCAAACTCGTAATAGTTCTGCTGTGTCGTTTGATTGTGGTTGTGTTTCGTTGCTTGTTTTTCTTCCTGGGGGAATTTGGCTGGCAGGAGTTAGAAGGCTGTGTAGCGTAGCAACGCTTAATTTGTGCCTTTTCACAGACTGAAGTAGCGATCAGATTTCTTTTAATAAACATGAGTTTGTTTTGGTTTGTGGCTGCTATATATAATCTGTGTATACATGGCCATAAGAAAGCACATGTGTGATTTGAGGTCTGTGGAGAGAATTTTTGAACACTAGTTAATGCTTACGTATGTAGTAAAATGATGATGGTGGTGTGTTCTGCCTTACTGTTACTGACCAACAGAAGTCATACTTGTGTTACAAAGTACCAGTTCTGGGTGACTGTGAGTAAAATTGTGATCCAGTGAAAAAGCTACTGGTTATAATGGTAGGAATTGGGAAGGATGGTGACTCGGCACAGTGACTACGAAGGTTTCAAAGCTGTGGCACGTAATGTTTCATTTAACTTACACCAAGAGTGTCCATACAGTATTTCTGTAAGTTAATAGACCAGGTAAAGGTGAATCTTATTTACCCTTTAAAAACAGTTCTTAGCAGAAATAGAATAAAAATTGGCCAAGTCTATTGAACTGGGTGTTTTGATGTTGAGTAATAGCACGTGCCTGAATTCTGACAGTCTAGGAAGGCAAATATTTTCTAAGTAATAGCAAATATTTGAGTTGATAAGTAACATGATAAACGTGGGAGGAAAGTGTCACTGTTTGAGTAGATTTTAATTCACAAGATGAACTGGGAATAGTTTACACATCAGTAGCCAGGTACTGAAGAGAAAACTGAAATGTCGTTTTCATTGGCAAAACTGATGTAAAATCTGTATTATAATAATTGGAATAAAATAGGCACTGGAACTTGACCTGAAGAATGCATCAGTTCTTCAGCACATTTTTACTTGTGGCTGATTCCACACTCTTAATGTGCTGTTATATTTTCTAAGATGAAACTTGAAATTATTATTCCCTTTATAGAAGGGATACTTGCAGGTAGGAAGAAAGTCTTGTCAGTCTGGTCTTCTGTTTTGTGAAAGTGGTAGCTGAAGCTTTGCTGAGGAGCCTCATGTGCTTGCACTCCTGTCTTCTGATGAATGGGGTCTCTGCAATAAGAGCTAAAGGATTCTCCTGAAAAGTCACAAGGAAAGCCTGGAGCACCAGAGCCTTCTTTCTCTCTGGTTTTTGATGCTATGTAATAAGAATTCGCTGTTGCTGTAGCTAACTTTCATTGTATATGCATGCTACTGGCTGCTTTGCTGAGCTTTATTTTTCTCCTGTTGTAGGTCTGAGTCTCATGGTAGATCTAAATCTGGCTTACCTGCTAAAAGGTGAGCGTTTAAATACAAGTAGCACTCAGTTGGTTTTTGTTTTGGTTGGTGGTTTTTTGTGGTTGTTTTTTGTTTTGTTTTATGGGTTTTTTTCCCTCATTATTCAAAATCTGTTTGGAGCAATATTTCAGTTGCATGTGGAAGAGGGTTTTTTGTTGTGCTGTGGTATTTTTGTTGTTGTTCTTTTAATAGCCGATTTCAAAAACATTTTCATGCATTACTTTAATGTATTTTTTTTAATAGCTGATTTTTGTGGGACAATAGGCAATTCAAAAGAATTGTGCATAGAGGTTTTTGTTTCACTCAGCATTGTGACAAA